CCGGCCCGCCATCGACAGCATGTGGCTGGCGAAACGCCGAGCCCAGGGGTCGCGACGGCGCAGTGGCTTTCCTTTGTCCCCCAGCCTGAAAGAAACCCCGTTACAAATAATCTCGTTACAATATGCCTATTCCTCCCCCCGCACGCTGGGACGCGGCGACTGCATTCTGGCCCTGCCCCAGGACCTCGCTCCAGCCCCTGCCAACAGCGCAGGCCAACGCTCGCTTGTTCAATTTTTGCTCGCTTTTTCGATTTTCGCAAGTCAGGGAACTCCCCAGGGAGGAAGCCCCGACGCTGGAGCGCCCAGGGAAGAGGCAGACCAGCCGCAGTCACACTCCCCCGCGGAAAGAATCAGTCCAGGTTTTCCTCTGCTCTGTTTGCACCCGGTGTCTGCTCCGAAACCCGGCCACGAGCCCATCTTAGGGACACGCTCCAGCTGGTCTGGTTACCCTCACAGAGATGAGCAGCTTTGGGAAGAGGCAGATCAGGGCCAAATTTCATCTGTCTTGGCTTAGCTGGAATAGTGAGGCAACTCTCAAATGCTGGAGACATAAAAACGAGGTGGCTAAGCACTAGAAGAAAACAAAAAAACCACTTCATAATTTCTTTTAACATATATAAACAGAAGGGGAAAAAAAAATAATGAAGTGAGACCCGGTGGTACCAGTGCGCTCACGCCAGGTCAGGGAGGTCGTTGGGGAAGGGCTGAAGCGTTACAGAGGTCACAGCAGCTCAGGGCGCCGGGCGCAGCGCTGCCCCGACTGCCGCCTTCGCTGGGGCAGGACAACACGGCATGTCAGCCGCCGGCCCGAACTGAATGCGACCCAGCCAGCTCGATTTATTCCTACTAAAACAAAAATCCTGTTAAACAGCATGTAACTCTGTGTCTCTACAAACTCACAGCTATCTGCCAAACAATAAAAATCCCAAACTACAAAAGATGAGTCGTATTCAGTAAATATAAATGGGAAATTTAGGCTTTGTGTAGAATGTTTATCAGACTATTTACAGTGCAACACAGATCGTTCGAGTTCAGATCTCGCCAGCTTCTCTCTCTTCTGATCTCTTGGAACGAGATTTGCCATTTGTGCTCTCGTGCCGCCGCTCAGAAGAGCTCTTCTCTTTTCTCTCTCTGTCTCGTGACTTTTCTCTCGAAGATCGATCTCTAGAAGATCTGAAGTACAAAGTAAACCGTCGCTATCAGCTTCACAACTGAAAGAACTTTCAAATACGCACAACACGACATCACCTCTCCTAACAGGGCTGTGGCATAACACGAGTTTCTCACAGAAATGCGCCTAGGTACTGCGATGTCAGGAGCGGAGCCCCCCAGGACAGCAGCTCGGGTACCCCTCTCAGCTTTACGTAAAGGAACGCCGGTGCTGCAGCGTGGAGTGCGCGGCGCAGCCTTTGTTACTCCCTCCTTAGAGCGACCCTTTCAAGCTGTTGCCACAGGGGCTCTCCCAGGTCTTCCCCGTGCCCCTTGTTAGTTTACTGGGCCATACTAAAGTGCCTGCAATTTCTTCCTCGTCTATCACTCAGCTGCATTTGTGTCTTCCAGAGTGTTTTTGCATTATGGTCTAAGCTAGTAGCTTTCTGCTCAGCGGCTTTAAATACCAGCTGTACTCTTTGGACTCAAACACTTGCTCAGCCCTGGGCTTCTTTCTGCTTCACATCCTGACAAGCATTGTCCTTGGCAGCACCCTGGGTTCAAAGTCAGGATGATACAGATATACATTTGCAGCCTGCAACGTGGGCAAATCTTTTCACAGCCTGCCCAAATGACAGCAACAGATTTTCAGCAGCGCCGTATCAGCCCACACAGAATTAAGCAAAGGGCTTCATATTAGGGCCAATCTGAACAGGCCATTTTCCTGGACGCTTCATGCCAGCCTGTCGCCTAGCAGCCTCCAAGAGGTGCTGAGCCTGAATGAGCTCTAGCGGCCCACACCCGTTCGGAAGCGGCTTCCACAGACCACACAGAGCCAGCACATTCTACCCTAGGACTCGGTACGTCAGTTTTCCTTACAAGAGGAGGGCCTGGCAGGTACCTTAGAGGTTCCACCTTTCACTCATATCGATTGTAAGGTTTGGAACTACAGCACAATAGAGACATTAAAACCTTACAGCCCTCCGTATCACACGAGCCATTTCATTTTCATTAAATTGTGTCATTTAACCAGAAGACAACATGAGTCTGACAGGATCGAGTCCTTTCCTGTTCCACAACAACACCTGCTGCCCGTAGCCCTCCTGTTCTGAGGGCTCCAGACCCTGCCACAGGCTCTCCCTTTCTTCATACAAGCGAGACCTCACACCAGCAGAACCTGAATGCAGGCTTCATTAACTCTCGAGGTGAAAACAGAAGCTACTCTCTTTCAGGGAACAGGGTTTTTCTGTTTGTTCTCTTGCTTTGATTTTCTTAAACTGATCCTGGTCTCTCCCCTGTTCTCAGTAATTTGCGAAAGTACGTCAACTAGCCAATCCCCCTACAAACTCGATGGGCTCATTTGAATGTGTTCAAGGTTTTCGAAGTATTCCCTTACCTGCTCTTTAGTAATAGTTATTACAGGGTCTTCCTCACTTCCTAATTGTCCAAACTTCTTTTCTTTATTTTTCATGTTCAAGACAGATTTAAAAAAGGACTTTAGTATCTCAGCCACTGGAGAATCATTAAAAGACTTATATTTTCAGACTATTATTTCCCCCCCCTTCATCAGGTACCTTTAAAACCTGTTCTTGCCCCAATACTTAGCTAAAGTGACACAAGACACAACAGTAGGTTTGTTTCTAGAACTGTACTTGGGCAGTGGTGCCTCATCAGGTGAGACAGTGCTAAAGCACTCCCCTATTAACTAAGAGCATTAAAAAAGCCAGATCTAACTTCAACAAGCAGCTGATGATAGACTTGCTCCTGGGCTTAGAAGGGCTGCAAGGAAACACAATGGCTCCTTTCAATTTTGCTAATACTCCTACATATGCTTGCTTCATCCTTCCTCAAAACACAGTAGGTGTTTTGCTGAGTTTCAGAAGAGACTGAAAGTCCTTCTTCTGACTGTAGCGTTTCTCCTTAGCGACAGGACAATGGTACACTCCTCCTCCTGGCTGCCTTTTCCCCTGCCTCTAGTGCAGATTGCAAAAAAAAGGTCTCTCTCTTGACCAGCCGCCTTCTCACCCTAACACAAGGCTTCCCCCAGGTCCCAAATCATACACTTCCTTCCCCGTGCCAGCAGTGAGAGAAAGAAGCTGGGAAGCAGAAGGTAACCACAAAAATATAGCATCAAAACTGCCTCAGTTACTTGGCTTTTACAGGCCTGGGGAGGCTCAGTTAGCTCAAGCGGGCCTTTGTGCTGCTGCTTACACGAAAAAAGCAGCACCTTCTCGAAACTCAGCCCTGCACATCAGGGAACCAGTTCTATCTCCTAGACTCTCCTCCCAAGCTGGGATCTCATTGTACAGTTACTGCCCTACCGCTCTCATGCGAGGCCATCTACAAATGGCCACTGGGAAATCCTGCTTTGGGCCCAGGAGCTGGTACAGGACACTGCAGCTACTAACTTGAGAAACCAGTCCTACTCCTGCTCGCTCTAAGGGCCCAGGTAGGCTCACTGTGATGCCAAAGACTCCCCTTGCCAGGAGCACTCGTGTCAGGACTACATACTTGTGTTTTGAACTCCTGTCTCTGGACCCCCGTCGGTGACCTCTGCTGTGGCTGCGGGAACGGCTCCGGTGACGTCTGTGTCGGTCTCGGGACCGGGAGCGAGACTTCCGCCGTTCACGGGAAGCTGATCTCGAGCGTCTTCGCCTCCTATCCCGAGACCGTGATCTGAAGAGGACAGAGATTGACTCAGGAGACAGGCCAGTGCATCAGGTCTGTGCAGCTGAGCCCATCTCTCAGACACTCCCAAGTAATAAATATCCAGAGCATCAGCACTCACCCCCGAGCCGCACCCCTGCCAAGACAGAAGGCAGATCACCATGGGGTAGGCATCTCCCTCCCAGGCCTCATGCTGCCAACAAAATGCCAACGGGTAAATCTGAGTTGCTGGGAAGCTTACATGAAAAGCTCCCACCATTAACGTAAGCATCTGCCGATGCCTAGAGCAGAGCTTACCAACTGTGCTTCACTTAACGTGAGGCCTGTGTAAGTAGAAGAGAGGCCAAAGCAAGTGGCATGTGAAATTACCATCACTCGCATGGCCGTCTGCCAGAAGAGAGTCTCCCTTGTGGAAGTATTGCACTTCATAGGCAGATTTGTTTCAATCTGCTCTAAAAACAAAACGAAGGATGCCAGTGTGTATGGAAAGCAGTAGAGAGGGAGATCTCCAGGTATATGACCACAGAGAGTACTGTCATACCATTAAGGCAAGCTCTTTCCAGAAGTATGGGGGCTTTGTGAATCTCTGTATTTTTACATCTGAGGTATAATATAGCTAACAGATGTATTTCAGACATTAAAGCTATAGACGTGTATTAAACATTTATTGAAAGAGGTATCAAGTACACTCTTAGACTCGCCCCACACAGCGCCCTCTGTCCTGACTGGGCCAGCCAGCATTTGCTTTCCAGCCCCACGGGTGACATGAAGTTGCACAGCACGGCTGAGCTGCCCAAGCAGTAGCTCCCACTTCTTTCAGGGAGCAAAACAGAGGCTGGGCCACCGAGTGAACTCCATTGGCCAGACCCTGGAAAAACCTCAGTAGCTAGACAAAAACCATAAACAGGCATTTGGGAGAACTCTGGGAGAACTGCGCACTCACCTTCGACGGTCTCTGTTTCTTGATCCAGACCTAGAAAGAAGAGGAGAGTTAAGTGAGGGAAGGTACGACGCAGTCCGTGGGTTTTCAATAAGACTCTGGCAGCTCTTCACAGGGACACAACCATACCCCGAGTAATACGCCAGTTAAAAAAATAAGCTTGCCATTAAAACATTTCATTAGCTTCACTTTGGGGGCCAGGGAGAATTTGTCAAAAACTGAAGAACTTCACAGAAACACTAGTTTCTACACACAGAGCCTCCTGTCTCAACAGAGTTCCACAAATCAATTCAGTCTCTTAACAAAGCACCACAAAGAACCTTTCTGACTTTAAATTTGCTGTCCATACTTGTTATATACTCTTTACCCTCTGCAGTCTAACATCACCTAGGTCAACTCCAGTAGTTTCAAGAAAAAATGCCACTCTCCTCCAGTCAGAAAGACACTTGACAGTTTTTCTGGTTTTGATTCCTTTGAGATAGTCGCACATTAAAAAGGTTTTAACAAAGAGAAAACAGCATTTTCTCACTTGTATTTATTTAACAAGCATCAGAAGGAAATTTGCATCAATGATTTTTTTTCTTCCTGTTTGTGAAAGATTAGCTAGGAAAAAAGTGGGGACACAGACACAAGGGAAGAACTATTACTGAAAGATACACTGAAAATCCTTCATCCCAGACTTAGAAAGGCACTTGAGAAGCATCATCCAACCCTCACTGTTCTTCCTCACATTTCCATGGCTTCAGAGCCCATGTGCGGCACTCACCTTAGCGCTGTAAGCATTAGCTTTTGACAGTCTGTAAATAGCAATGTCACAACTCCTCCAACTCCTGAAGCACTATTACTCAGCACCACTTACAATACCACTCCACGTGAAAGTTATGCCGTCCCTCCTTGTCTGTGGCCACATTTCCAAGCCGGCTTACAGCGAAACATCACACGCTGTCTGAACAGCCTCTTTTTGCTTTAACTGAGAAGCGGACTCTCTCCCTGTTTAGTGACTTAGAGACTCACTCTCGTAACTGCTCCCGTCTCCCCACTGCACACAGACTCGCAGCGGATGTTCCACTTACACAGCCACACAGCTGTTCTGACACTGCAACAGGAGATGCGGCTGGAAGCTACACAGACAAAATCTTCAAAAGCAACAGAGAAGCATCTATTTTAATCATATCATTTAAAATCATACCTGGATAAGACAAGATTAAGAGAATCAATGTGCACTGACATTCCCTCACAATGAAATGAGATTGTTCATTCATGGTAAAAAAAAAATTTAGAAAGGAATTCAGGTAGAAGGACTGTAAACAAGGTGGAGCTGAACCTGGAGTCAGGCAAATGAACCATGGGCTGAGGCAACACACAAGATGACCAGATGAAGGAAAAGCTGATAAACCAGGAGAGCAAGACAATCACCACACGCCTCCTTTTTCATGTAACAGAACCTGACAGTGCAGCAGGACCTCCTGCAGATGCCTGGCAGGCAACTGAATTTTTTTTTGGTGGTTGTAATTACTCCAAGTTCTTAATGTTCTTTTCCTCTTGATCACTTTATTCTGAACCACCAGCGCACACATCCACACAAAGCCATTCCCCATCCTCTGAAAAACCTGGCTGCCTTTCTATGCGTACGATCTAAGCAGGAGTTTGCACAATAAACTCCCGATAATCACGCCCTAGCACCAGACTTCAGAATTCAGGAAGCATCCAACGAAACAGCACCTTCCTTACTAGCCTGAATCAGCACACACCAGGCAGCAGCAGCAGACCGATGTCCAGAGGAGTGAGAGGCTGAGCATGGGTTGTTTTATTTTTCCCCTCCTCTTTTTTGTCCCTGCATCACAGAGGCTATGTGCCAAGTTTCATAACCTGTGTTTTGTCCAATTTACTACAAAGGAAATCCATTTGGCAACTCCACCTAGACTTGTTTGCTGATGTACTCTGGAAGCAAATACCGAGGTCTGCACTGCCGAGCATGCAACCTCTCCACAGAATTTCAGTCTTAAGAGATTACTGGGTAGCCCACAGTCATCAGCAACACCAAACAAAGGACTTGTGTTTATTTACCACTAGGGGTGACAGCCCAGTTCACTCATTCCGATGTGGAAATCACAGCTTAGTTGACAAATCAATAAAGTCTGTGAGAGGCAGAGATTCACAAGTGAATCTACAGGTTTCCATTGTACGTCACGGTGCCTGTAAGCCACCAAAGACTTGTCAAAATCAAGCGGTACTCTTTCTCTTACTGAGTAACATCATGAAGATGCTGCATATGAAGATATCGTAAGAAGAGTTATGAAGGAAACACGTTTTCTGTGGTTGCTTCAAGTATCAAGCTCTGGTTAAGAGAGGCAGTCTGAAAGGCAGTAGAAGTCACTGACTGGTTTTTGATGGAAAAATGCCCCTGTAAGCACAGTGTTGCACAGCTCCCAGTGGGTAACGTGCCGAGAAATCTGGGCTCTAGTCTCAGTTCTGACACTGAGCGTCCACTGGTAAAACTATTTTCCTTCTTTGGGTCAAGTTCTCATTTTGCAGAGGCAAATAATTTGACCTCCTCTGTATGGCACTCCTGGCTCCTTCATAACAAGTTCTGCTTTGATATCTGAACGGAGAAGCATACAGACACCTCCACACCGAGTGAGAGCAAAGGCTGGCCACAGTCTCCAAGTAGTGCCACACATGGAACCAGCAAGAACTCAGACTTCAGGCTAACTCAGTGCAGTCCTTAAACCCTTCACATCTAAAACATTAAATAAACATTCAAAAGCAGTCTTCAAATCGCCTCACCAGATGCATCCATATATGGACTACCTGTGAACACAAGAGGCTCCTTAACTCTCGGTAACTGAGGGCTTGGTTTGAAAAAAAAAAAAAAAAAAAAAAAAAAAAAAAAACAAA